GAGAAGGGGGCTGGGCACCGAGTCCGGCCCGGTCCTGAGGGAAGAAACTAGGCCTGGTCCCGGGAGGCAGGGAGGGCTCTGGCCGGGTTCAGCGGTGACGGCCATTCCCGTGTCTCTGGCCGCTCCTCGGCTGCGGGTCTCGAAGCGTTCCTGGGTGAGGTGGTGGCACCTTGCTGAGGGTCTTTATTTTTTTTATTTTTTTTTTTTCTTTTCCTTTCTCCAGGCCATAATGCAGGGGGAGCAGATCATCAAGCCCGTGCTGCAAGTCATTGTGAGTACTCTCCGTTACCTCTTGGCCCAGTCCATTAGTGACTGCGTGCATTTCAGCGCAAGCGTCTGTGCGCAGCCAAACTTTCTCTGCAGAGGAGCCGAGCAAGGCTGATGTACTTTCAATTTCGTTTTATGTGACTTGGTATATGCTGTTGATACTAGTGCTCAAAAAAAAAAAAAAAGGCTGAATAGATAGGTCGTTTGCTAACGATGTCACTTTGTGTTTTTGAAGAGCTTCTGAATGAATGAGAACTAATAACCTGTTGTTTCTGCGTAGAATACACGGGCTATTGCTACAGGAAATGGGCCACCGCGTTACCGAGTGTTGATGAGTGATGGGGTTAACACACTCTCCTGTAAGTATGATAAACTGTAGTCAGACTTTTATAAGTGTGGAGATACTAATGGTGCTAAAGCCTCCGGTCTGGTCTTTAGGTGCACAGTGATTAAATGAGTATTGAAGGAGAATGTGGCTTATAGGGACCACAGACTCTGAAGCCTGCAACTGCATTTTAACGTTTGGACAAAATCCTTCTCTTCTGGAACTTTCTGTGTGAGCTTTAAGCAATTAACTTGCTGCAGGGTATAATGAAAATATAGAAACTATACATGGTTTTGTAACAGTGACTTTAAAGTAATTTAGCTTAATCTTTCTCTGGCTTACTTGTTATATGATCATTCTGGCTATCACTGCACTCCGAAGTTTGGGGAGTAAATACAGTACAGTTGATGCTCAGTTTTGGTGACCTGTTAGCAGTTAACACTGTTTTCTATGTGTTAACTAACTGAGCAAGTTGTAGATTTAATGCAACACTAGCAGATTGGCTGCAAAAGTTGTGGCCAGCCATGGCAGCCCCGTTTAAGGCTGGTATGTGTTAATTGTTTCATTCTTTTTCTTCTGTTTCTGCAGCATTCATGTTGGCAACTCAGCTGAACTCTCTGGTGGAAGAGGAACGCTTATCAGCTCAATGTATTTGCCAGGTTAACAAATTCATTGTCAACACCCTGAAAGATGGAAGGTATATATGTTTCTTAAAGTACGGTTCTACAGAAAAGCAGCTGTGCTAGTGGGTGCTCTGGTCTTTGTGACTAAGCAAAGGCCAAATGCTTTTGACTGGGATTATCTGAAAATACTGAGTCTTTAGGGTGGAAGAGGGAAAGTACACAGCACAAGCAATAGCGGAAATAAAAAAATTACAGAATGTGACTGCAATGGGCTCAGATATGTCTAGTATAGTGATTTAGTCATTTAAAGTTTCCAGTTGGAATACTCCAAATTGTACAAAGTTTCATTAAAATTCACTTAGAATTATCTGCTGTGGAAAAGAAACAGTGACAATTTCTTTTTACTTAGGTTTTGTGGAATCTGGTCTGTCTTTTATGAAAATTTGAGGGAAGGGAGGTAGGATACTGCAAAATGAGAAGGGATCCGAGTGAAGTGATTATAGAAAACCTGTGTATGTGTCTAGGAGAATATGAACTGAGGTTCCGTGTCTTTTTGTTCAGTGTTTTTGTGGAGGGAATGTAACTTCTTTTGAGGCAAGAAATATATTCTCTCTTGTAAAATCAGGCATGGTTTTGATACTTTTAAAACACTGTGTTGTTTCAAGCCATTTTTGTGTGCCCATTCACCATGCTATCGTCTGTCCTTGAAGAAATGTGGTACTGTTTCAAGCCTACTTGTACCTCGTGAGAGGGTTAAGTTGTCAGTGGAGAACTTTTGTCTTCCAGATCCCCCATCCAAAGAATCAGCCCCTAATGATTGGTTCTCTTACCTGAACACAAAGGATATTCAGAATCTGACAGACTTGCAGAGGGAGTGAAAGTCTTTATTGCTGTCTGTTCTGTTCGTAGGAGAGTGGTTATACTGATGGATTTAGATGTTCTGAAAACTGCTGATAAGGTCGGTGGGAATATTGGCAATCCAGTGCCATACAATGAAGGTGAGTGTGCACAAATACCGTGCTGAACAGACTGTCTGTTATGATAGTCTTTCAGCTGTCTGTTTCTTTTAATTTAAAAAGCAGCAGTCAGACATCTTCAGCTTTCTTATGCCTGGAACAGTGATGTCCGGATCTTGAAAATCCTTTCTATTTGTGTAACCCAAAAAGGGTTTTGTTCATATTTTCATAAACTCTACACCATGGCTGAAGCTTCAGTCTCTACATGGTATTGGGAAGTATCTAGACCTTATGATAACATTGACAGGTTTTTATTATACATTAGTGGTCTCTACCTAGAGTTCCAGTAAGTATGCGGAAGCTATTCTATGTCTCCTCACAATGAGTAATCAAATAGATTATAATTTCTTCTGTCTGGAAAGAAAACAGGAGGAAGAAGATGTAATAATGGTCTGTGAAAGTATAAGATGGCATGGAGGGGATGAATAAAGAATGATGAATCTCTCTTTCTGTTCTATGTTCGTTCGATGCTCTTTAGTTCTCATATTGTCGGGTAGTGGTTTTAAAACAAAGACTGTACCGCACCCCCAAACAGTGCATAGTTAAATTATGGAACTTGTTAAGGTAGGTGCCAAAAATTGGCACAGGCTCAAAAAGCAATTAGACGTGAAAGAAAAATCCATTAAAGGCTGTTAAACATAACAATACATCCTCTGCATGAATGTTAGATTCAGGAAGCACTAAAACTTAGATTGCTCAAAGTACGTAGATGAGATAACTGGTATGAAAACACGGCCAGCATGCAGGCTTTCCTAAGCACCCGTTCCTACCCTGCCATCTGCAAAACAATGATGTGCTGGATGGACCTTTATCTGACCTGCCATGAATCTTCTGGGTTTATTATGCTGCATAAGTAACTGTGGTCTTAATTTTCGTGTGCTGAGCTTACAGTTCTCAGGCAAACATTCTTTGAATTAATTTTTTTTTTCCCTGAGATATGTTCGAAAGTGTGTTGTGTTCCTCCAGTTCTGATGTTTAAAAAAGAGAGACGATAATAAGCACTTAAAATATTTGAACAGCTCTGTCATTGACGTATATACAGATAACAGCTGAAATTTAATAGCCAATAGCTCTTCTTGAAGAATTATTTTTTTTCTGGTGGAAGTGAATAAATATATTGTTATCACTAAGGGACCGCACATTAGTGGCAGCAATCTTCTGTAGGATATTTTGGACAAACAGTGGTGGTAGGTATGCTGCCATTCTGGTTAAAAAATCTACTTTACTTATCAAAGTAGAAATTAGACTTTGTTGCAAAGGCAAAGACATCTTTCTTCATTAACTTTTCTTTTTCCTAGGGAATTAGAGGGGCGTTTGTTAAATGAGCCTAAAGAATCCTTTGTTCCTTTGATAGTTACTTAGCTAATTGCTGTTTAAAAAATGTGTTGACATCTCTGATTTTATGGTTTAATCCCACAGTTGCTGTAGAGACCCAGATTTTCAGAATAGCTATTGAGCAGACTGTTTTGTGTCTTTCTCCCATTTCCCTTGCTTGTGGGATACAAGAGCGTGTGAACTATAGTCTTTTTCAGTTATATTGTTGCTTAGAAACGACTGGGAACGTGATACAGAACTGAGCTGAAAATATACCTTTAAGAGTATAAATTTTGATAAAATTACCATGCCTTTGATCAAAGTTATCTTTTTCATTTGGGCTTACAAAAGTACTCAGCAATGAAGTTTTCAAATCTAAATGCTTTTGGAGATGTTACAGGTCTATGATCATAGTAAGCGTGGTCTTGCACTAGATAGTTAAGAGATGCCAAATTTGATGTGGCGTGTATTTCATTTTAACACTGACGTTATTCTGCAGGTTTCATACCCTTTCATGTGATACTAAATAAGGTTTCAGTTACAGAAGATGGTAATAGTTTATGGATCGGGTGTGCTTAACCCAGCCTTTCTGCTCTGCAGGGCTGCCTGATTCGTCATGAAGGCCTTGATAAAATGGCAGAGGTGTATTTCAAGTTACAGATTCTTGAAGTTCCTCTGTATATTGAAAGATTGTATTTTTGAGGGACACTCAGCTAATGCAGAATGAGTATCTAAGAGCACTTTGTATTTTTTAAAGGAGAAAAAAAAATGGTATTTTTAAAAGAATGTTTTGTTCTACTTTTGGTCTTTCTTGAAACACAGATTTCAAATTGCTAGATCTAGGATTAAGGAATATTCTTTCCTAGCCTGTAATACCACAGTAGGGCCTGGGGAGTGAGAAGCTGGCTTTTGGCCACTTTACGCTTGAGCAGCAGGAGGTTAATCTGCCTAACAAGGAAGCTGGAGACACAACCTTCTTAATACATACCATAAACGCTTTTCAGGCAGCATTTCATAATAGTATTGAAAATTAAGATTGAGCAGTTTAGTTCTTGGTAGAAAACTAGATGGTAATGTTATTACTGTCATTAATCTCATTCAAATTACTCTGATGCTGGACTTTCTTCTTACTATGACAATTACTTGCTACTTATGTTTAACTTTTGTCATTAATCTTTCCGTGTTGAAATGTTTGTATACTTATACATTCACTTGAACTCTTTATTCTTGCCCTTCCCACCATTGTGATTTGGTGTATGTTCTTTCAAAGTGCATTTTCTTCCCTCTGCTTCCGCCCCTCCCCAACAGTTCTGGGACAGGTCTTCTGTCACCACGGCACTGTAGCAGTACCTCTTGGTAACCAATTATTGGAGGCAGAGGACTACAGTTATATGGCTATTACATTACAGCGGGCTGTGTGGCTAGCTTTGGCCAAAGGTCTTGGGTTTGAATAACCCAGTATATATAGCAGAAATGTGATCAGGTATTTCAAGGGGGGTTTTTTCAGCTTCTAATAAAAACTAACAGCAAAAACCAGGCAGAGGAGTCAGTTTCCTGAGCACCTTAAGTGATCTGTAGGCCACCAGCCACCACAAAAATCGTAGGTTAGGAGTCCCTAGGCTCTACAAGCAAGAAAATTGGAGAGATATTTCTGTTACTTCTGTATTTGAACACAGGTACAGGTGTGTTAATATATTCTTAATCTGTTGAGAAATACCAGGCTGTGGGTAGGCAGCCATTAAAACATGAATTTGTGTTTCTTAATACACGCGTTCAAATGTACGTGGTGGTCTTTTGTTTGGTTTGGTGGGGTTTTTTAATTAAAAAGTCCTAGGGAAAAAACAATTTGGAACAGAATTAGCAAGGAAGTCTCTTGATGTTTCATATGCACACTCCTGTTCTTGAATATTCTTCTCCTGACCAGACATACTTTTCTCTTAATGTGTTTTGTTGATTTTTTTTTTTTTTTTTTTTTTTTTTTTCCCTCCCCTTCTCATCTTACACAAAATGGATATGAGGTGTTGAGCACTGACCCTGACTGGGTCCTCTGAGTACCTGAGGCAGCTGAGCGAGGGTGAAATCTGGCTTCTCCATCTAGTGGATTCTGCAGTAAATGCACATTGCCGTTTGACGTCACTCTGTTGCCAGGGAGACTACTGTCACCAGTTCACCGATGTGACTCTACTGCGGCAAGTTAGAGGAGCAGATTGGTTTTGTGCAAGGACCTTGTTTTGGATTGAAAATAACCAGAGGGTTACCCCTGTAGACTACACAACATCAGGCAATGCTACATCAGGGTCTCCTTGTGTTGCTTCTGCTCCTTTACCTTACTTCTGTGCCATCCTTCCTTGCCATTCTGTTCTGGGATTCTTTGCTTTTGTTGCTCATGATGTTTATAGGCTAGGTATGACCTTCTTTTCCATTTTCTCTGACTGTCTTACTCCTCACACCCCAAATCAGGGAGGGCTTTGCCTGCTCAAGCCTAAGAATTCTGCAAACCTATGGCTTAAGAGTTAGTTGTGTCCAAAAAGACAAAAATGTTGGATGTTTTCTCATCCAGAGGCAAAAATATGATAAGACAATTGTTCTGTAAAGTAACTCAAATTTTTGAACTGTAGATTAGTCTTCTAATGTACTATTTCTCAAGATATGTCACTCTGCTCTTTCTCTTGTAAGTTATCATCAACATAAGGCAAGTAAAAGTCCTGGAATCTAAAAAAAAAAAAAAGTACAATATGTACTTACTATGGCATCGCTTTGCTCCCAATGCAATATACTGCTGTGTCCCAAGGGGAACCCTGGTGAATGCTGAAATTAAGACTCCATCATCCCCGCATTAAATATCTTCGTATTTTGGAAATAAAATATAGCAGGTGTTTTATTTGTCTTGTGTTAACTTAAGGTTTGACTTTATCTGGTAGGTTTTTGGCTCTTCCTGAATTTTAAGAGGGAGTTCTCCCACAGTTTTTATCTTGGCTGTTAGGTAGTAGCAGAAACTACCTGTCAGAACAATAGAAGCCTATAAAAACTGAGAAGTTGTCGAGATTGCTTCAGTGCTGTCCTTTTAAATAACTGTCAACCCTGAATTCTTTCGAAGTAGAAAGCAGTTGCTTGAGGAAAGAGATCTGACTGAAATTCCTCCATGGTAATATTGTTCAACAGACCGCTTGCTGCTGCTGTGTCTCATAACACCTGAATTTTAGCATGTCTTCTCCATGTTTTAATTTTTTTTTTTCATGCAAGTCTTATTTCCTAAAAAGGCTTAAAAGTAGTTTTAATTACTGTGCTCCCTACTGTACTCTATGGTCTCTTTCCATTTGATTACCAGGGCAAGGGCAGCAACGTTCTTCAGCTTCAGCAGCAAACCCAGCACCCAGCAAACCACAGCCACAAAATGGCAATTTGTCAGTAGCAGGTAAGAGTAATCTTGGGCAGGAATTCTGGTTTCCACTTACGCAGTGCAAAACTACAGCTTAGATTTAAAAAAGATCCTTTCTATAGTGGTGTTGCACAAGAAACACTCCATTAAAGACTAACCCATACCTTGACAAGGTGAATTCTCTCAAGAGGCTACTGTACACTTGGATTTAATAAATTTTTAAAAAGGAAAAAAAGAAATCTGTCCCACTTCCCTCCTCTTCCCCAAGGAAGAAAAAAAACAGGAAACGGCTTTGACAAAGCAGTGTAAACTGAACATCTAGTCTGATGCAATTCTGCATTCTTGAAAGTGCTCTGTGGACACACATGTAGGCTACAGTTTGGACCTGGCCAACAAGTTTGTTATTGATGGTGAGATACTGAGGCCAAACAGCTTAGGTGGTACAGGACTGAAATTATTTGATAGTACATCTATAAATACAGGTTTTTGATCAAGACTTTATATAGTGAGATGCTAAAAAAAGCAGTCAATTTAAATGTCACCCTGTAGGCTTTTTTCAAGCAAAAAAGTTGGTACTGCTTCAACCTGTCTGTATTGTTTACTCCTGTGTCTAAGGAGTATTTTGAAATAGTAAAATTCTGACACTTGCTTACTGCAGCAGCAAACAAGCTCTTCCTTCCTGTACTTAAAGCTGATCATAAGAGTCCTACACTTAGACATTGACAAGATTCAGTTTAGAATTAGCAGCATTGCTTTATGTCAGGAAATTATTTGATTGTGGGGTACCGTTCCTTAACTGTTCACCCAAAGGGTGTAGATCTAAGGCTTGATGTGCCATATTTTAGAGAATTTGCTGCTAACTAGTTGTTTCCCACTTAGACCATCTTTAAGTGATTGACTCTGGACACATCTCCACTTCCAGTGTAAGTGCTCTAAAGGTCTGAGAGTGTCTCTTGCGCAGCAGTTTGCAGCCTAGAAAATACTTGTGGCCAAGAGCAGAAGTGATTCAACAAACTTTCAGCCACTCTGTGGTGCCCACGTAGCACAGTGAATGGAGCTTTAAGTGCCTACGTGGTGTTAAGTATAACTTCACCTTCTATGCAGCTCCCCATAGTGTGGTGGGAAAAGTTCTGCCTGACCTTGCTCCACAATGTCGTTTGAACCTGGCTTTTGCCTGCAAGGCTGAAATTCTTTATGCTTTGTTGTGGTTTTTGAAAGGTCCTGCTGCTCCCAAGTACCATGCTCCCTCAAACCAGTTTGGTAAAGCGAGCACTCCCAGCTCAGTGAAGACACCGGGGGGATCGCAGGCCAAAGTAGTGCCGATTGCCAGCTTGAACCCATACCAATCGAAGTGAGTTATCGTGATTTGCCAGGTATTACTCAGTGTCACAGGCACAGGGGAGCAGTAGCTGTTCTTTGCTTTCTCATGTATGAATCTCTGTCAAATCATTCTTTGAGGTCTTTTGAGTTTATTGGTTAACTTCAAACAAACAAAACCAATAATAAAAACAAAGCCACACAGAGAAACAGACAAAAAAACCCTCCATAGAAACAGCTGTATGGGTTTTGGTTTGTTTATTGTTTGGGGGTTTGGTTTGGTTTGGGCGCGCGCTCTCTCTCTCTCTCTCTCTCTCTCTCATTTCATCAACAGTGACAATCTAAGATTTGCCTTCACATTGTCTTGGTGAAGTTACCATGCTGAGCTTGATAGGTTTTTAATATTTTAGTTGAAAATCAATTTTCTCCTCCCCTCCCCCCCCCCCCACCATTATGGTAACTTAATGACAAAACAGCTCAGTAAGCTGTTCACTTTGGCTACTGTTCTGTTGAAAAGCATGAGGATGTAATTATTTCGTGAATGACATTTTTAAGTTATGCAAACTGATTTGATTACCCAAGTTAATTCCGAATCCTATAATTGAGCTCTTGAGTTCTAGCACGGCTTTTCAGAACAGGCAAACTGCTGTATGAGAAGTGTACCCTAGAAGAGTAAAAGATTTGAGGCCTGCTTCTATGCAGAAGGATTGTTTGCTACTACTGTAATACTGGCTGCTTTATGGCTGCTTTGTTGCTGCTTTCTCTACAACTTTCTGCCTTTAATGGTCTAGGCCATTAAAATAGAAAGCAGCAGAAGAGCAGGTAGAGTTGCGGAGGTGCAGTGGAAAGATTCTCACTTTTTAATAGTAACATTCCAGTTCCAAAGGTTTATAAATGCAATCTCTTTTAAAAAAAAAAAAAAAAAAGACGCAGAACAGTGATTTCTTGTACAATTTCAGGTGGACCATTTGTGCTCGTGTTACCCAGAAAGGCCAGATCCGTACGTGGAGCAACTCTCGTGGTGAAGGAAAGCTCTTTTCTATAGAGCTAGTTGATGAAAGCGTAAGTGTCGTATGTTGAGAAAAAGATAATGTGTGTCAGATGCTGATGAGCCCTTCATAAAGACAGAATAGAGGAAATAAAGTGTATTATAGGAAATGTTTTTTTTTATTACGACTGAAGCTTGTATTCATTAAGTTGAGCATCAACGACCCGGTTTTTATCCAGAATGAAGTCTTAAATGCATGGCATTGCTGATTATTTTTCATCAAAGTCTATAGTCTGTGACTAAATTTTTGCAGCTTCAAAATATAGTTGTTTATGGAAACTGACAACCTAATACTCAGGTTTGTGGTGGTTTCCTGTGGACTGAGAATGAAGTCTCATCCTTGCTTAGATACGTGCCACAAAGCAGAGCGAGCAGAGCATTGCCTCCAAGTTATAAGCTTTCATTTTCATGAGGAAATCAGAGTGCAAATTATTGTAGTACTAGGAAATTTCATCTGTGGTTTGTTTGGGGAATGGTATCTGGTTAATCTAACTAAACTTGCAGTTTGTCAAACCTCCTATCAAATTACAGCCTTCTGTCACGAAAACAAACAAGAATCTGCTAGATTAGTATAAAATGTAAGGTTAATAATGTAACATGTTGTCACCAGCCATTTGTTTTCTTTGCATACTGTCTGTATTCAATTTTTTTTAAAAAAACAGTATTTATATCTAGTGAGTTTATAATTGTTACTAATTCATACTTAAAGACTTGACATCATGCATGTGTGGGAGATATCACAATCTACTGTGCGCTAACTTGTGGAGCTGCGTGATCTATTCGGTCTTTTTATGTAATGGCAATTAATGCCAGTTGTACAAGTACCTATTCAGAGGTGTGTATATGATATATGTAGTTCTTACACATTTCATTCTGAAGCTCTACATATGCTAATGAGACGTGAATGTGAGATTTGATGGTCAGGTGTAGACTATGTCATTTTAGGTATAACTACAAATGTGAGGAGAATGTTGTTTGTTTCTCACATGCCTGGAGCTAGCCTGGCAGACCACGCCGTGTCTGTAGAACTGATGCCACTTAACATTGCAAAGACTTCTTTTTACCTTTTTTTAATGCCGAATTTTGGTTCTGACCAGCTCTCCTGTTTTCCTGCAGGGTGAGATTAGAGCTACCGCATTCAATGATCAAGCAGACAAGTTCTTTCCACTCATTGAATTGAACAAGGTATGGTAGCACTGTGCTTTCATAGACTGACATGAGCTAGAAAAGAGGAACTTCAGCATAGCAAGGATTTTTAAAGGTGAACACAATCTATTTTCTCTGTCTGAGTTCTGATGATATCCTCTGTTTCATTGCTTTCTCCTGTAGGTATATTATTTTACCAAAGGCAATTTGAAGACTGCTAACAAGCAATATACAGCTGTTAAGAATGACTATGAGATTACATTCACTAATGAGACTTCAGTTGTGCCCTGTGATGATGCCCAGCATCTTCCATCTGTTCAGTTTGAGTTTGTATCCATCTCTGACTTGGAGAACACACCCAAAGACTCTATTGTTGGTCAGTCTAAATAGCAAAATGTGGAGCTCTAAAGCTTTGAAGTTTTACTTTTACTTTTGTGTCCTGAATTCTGGGGAGGTAGTGAGCGTACAGTGCTTTGAGTGTTGTGATCCCTTAAACGAGGTTACCCAGTGATGGTTGCCATTAAAAATACCTAGGGCAGTTTTCCTGTTAACATGTCTTTGCCCTGTTCTCCTGACAATATATAATGATTTTTCTTCAAACTTGTGCTTCAAACTAAAGACAGTAAATTATAGTTGTTTATTGTACTATGATCATTGTTTTCCACAGAAAAGGTCTGGAAGAAAAATGTCCTTGCTCAGCACGTGTGCATTTCATACCTTCCGTGGTCTTGCTTTCTTTCACTATCTAATTATCTCTGTAGTGATTTTGGCATAATTCATTGCATCCAAGTCCAAGTTGCATGACTGTTTTGGCTTGCTTTGTGAAGTATTGGAGATTTGTTTTTCTGTAATTTGTTGGGCAGAATACGCCGGAAAAATCAGAGGCTTGGGTGGGGGCGAGGGTTCTCAGGTTTCACAGGCACAAGATGCCTGTGATTCAGAGGCATTCAGCTGGGGATTTTAAAGGTAGATGTGTAATATTAAAAACTGTATATTTTTAGGGAGTGCAAAGGGGGTTGTATTAGCTTTTACTACCCAAACATGCAGGCTTGTTCAAGTTGCAGCTTACAGTCACAGGGCTACATTGAAGGCACTAGCCAGTTGCTTTGTTGTGTTATAGTCACTTTGAAACCCCTCGCCTGAGAGACCTGTGATTAAACAGCACGAGTGTGTGTTTACAGGATGAAGTCTGAAGTCCTTTGACAGAATATGATGGGGAAAGATACTACAATGCCTTGATCTTGCTAATGTGGCGAGGCGTGCATTCATGAATATCTTAATGAATTCATCAACAAAATTAAAGCACTGAAGAGTTCTGTAGTGGAGCATTCCTACCATAATACACTTAATTTCCATATCAGGTTTGATTTGAATAGGGAGCTGGGATGCAAGGTAAAAATCTGACACTAGGTTTGAATTCTTCTCTTGTGATCTTGTATTCCCCAATTGTGACCCTTGCGTAACTAACTAAATTGTAACTGTTTTTCAGATGTAATTGGAATTTGTAAGAGCTATGAAGATGTCACTAAAATTACAGTGAAATCTAACAATAGGGAGGTATCTAAGAGGAACGTGCATCTGATGGATACATCAGGGAAACTGGTGACAGCTACGCTATGGGGAAATGAGGTATGTGCTCTCTTACCTGTTCTTAAGCAAAGGTTCCTTTGTGTAGGATGAGGAAATGAATGTGCTGTTGTCATCTGAGATGGGCATAGCACTGAGGCAGAGTCCTGGGTGTTTAAGGATCAGGGGCAGAGAGAAGGTGAAAGACTTGTCTGGTTTCATTCAGGTGTGATGTTCTTAACCTTTCTCTGACAAACTGCTGACATGATCTGACTAATGTGCTCTGAACAACTGCAGACATTGTCTCAAGCCCAAAGACTGAAGATAACAGGCTTCTAGTTTAGGAAAGGGTACGAGTTGCAGTTTGATTATGGAAAAGCCCGGTGGCTACAGCTGTCTCACTGGAAGTGAGTTTTATTTGTAGGGTGGGATACACGGTTACCCTGCATAAATTGCTGCTTAACGAGGGGGTTGAGAGGCTGCATCTCAGACTAGGTGTTTAAAGCATCAGAGCCTTGGAATTGAAAGTTTGAATAGTTGCAGTAAACCACTTCTTTATCCTTTTAACAGGCTACTTTGTTTTCCAGCGGTGTTGTAGGCACTTAGGGATTTATTTCCAGTCTATAAAATGGGGGTGATCCTGCCAGCTTGACAGTGATGCTTTATGGTTAAATAATCAAGTGCACTGATATTGTAGGTAGCTAAACACCATTAAGCAGCTGCTGATAAAAGTGAAGTAAACTGAAGTTCAATATCACAAAGTTTTGCGGTTGAACCAGGTTGTTACAGGAGAGGCTACGGGTAATCAGTTCCTGGCATAACTCTTCCAACAGAAATCAGGGTCTGCGTTGCACAAAGTTAAATCTGTTTGCTTCCTTGTAGAATAGACAAGGAACAAGCATTGAGGGGAAGTGACGTATGGCTTGCAGCTGGCAGTTAGGCTTAGAATCTGTATCTCCTTTGTAACAGTCATTGCCCTAACTGCTGCAGTATTTTGTGTGTTCTTCTTTGCATCTCTTGGATATAGCAAATGCTACTGCTAACTCCAGCCTGTTTGTAATCTTTAAGCACATGATCCTCCCCTTGCTTGCTAAGTGATGTGGGGTCCAGAAAATCTATACCTTTCAAAACCCCTCTCATGCCAAGAGGTTCTTTGTTAGTGTCAGACTTTACTTAGATAACAAATTGATGGCAATTGAACAGCATTAAAGCAGCTTTGTGAGATTAAAAATGGAAAAAGGGAAGTCAAGGAAAAGTGTTTGGTCACCATACCTACATTTCTACTTTTTAAGCTGTAGTAGAATAGACGTGATTTGCTCAAACAAGCAGAGTGAGTTGTTTCATCTCCTGAAGAATCTAATATGACCAAATGATTTCTTCTATTTCGAGAAAACTCCATTCCCATAACCCATCTCCCTTTCTAAAATTCTTGTGTAAAACTCCTAATGGAGAGGACTGATCCTTTTTTTCCAAACCAGTGGTGTGACTTAAGGATTTTCTGTTTTCCCAGGAAATAGGGTGTTAGGATTACAGCTTTAGTTGTTAGCTGACTTTTCTTAAACTCCTGGTGATATTGTTTAAAACTTCACCTTCTAAGTACAGTGAGATAGTTTGATTCAGATTCGGTCTCTTGTCATAATGTGCAGATCACGACCTTTACTGTAGCGTGCTACTAATGTTTTCTGTTCTTTCACACATGCAGGCTGAACAGTTTGATGGTTCTAGACAACCTGTGATAGCCATCAAAGGAGCCAGAGTCTCTGATTTTGGTGGTAGAAGCCTGTCTGTCCTGTCCTCAAGTACAGTTGTCATCAACCCTGATAGCCCAGAGGCTTTTAAGCTCCGAGGATGGTATGAGTGTGTGTTTATGTTGATTCATTCCAGTCTGCTGCAGAGTGGTTTTTTTATTCCGTTTCTCTGTACTTGAGCAGTCTGTATGGTATGGAAGAAAGGTAGCAAAGGATATGGGTTCCAGGGTTATAGAAACTCCTCTTCCTTGAAAGCACTAGAGCCTGAAAGGCTGTCCTTTTTAAGTTGTTCAATTCAAAAACTTATAATTCCATGGCAGACCTTGAAAAATTGAAATAGGAGTACTGCGTGCTGACCCAAAGCCTTGGAAGGCAGCATGAAATCAGACTTGACCAGCTCTACTTTCTGAGGCATTATCTGAGAGAACAATATTTTTTCCACAGGCTTTTCCATTGTGTAGAATCTGATACGCACTCTGTTAGTATGGACTGGAGGAACTATGTTGACTTCTCCCAGTGTCTATGTCTTATCAGATGTTTTTCAGATAGCAAAATAACATTTTTATTGTTGTCAGGAAGACAAAGTGATTTCTTGGTGTCTCGTTGCTTGTACTGTAGGTATTTGCTAAATTGTCTGCTATAACTACTAATATGGTGAGATGTGGCGTAAGTACGAATAAGGTTAAGTGCCAAGAGCATCAGATTCATGAATCCTGGGTTTTCAGGTTCTAGTTAAACCACCCAAACATGGATAAAATCTAATGGCGTTCTCCATTTGTCACTAAGTTGTGGTTCTCCCATACTTCAGAGGGTTGTTGAAGATAAAATTTGTTGTGGGTCTTAGCTATTGATGTCACACTTTAATTAAGTTCAGTTTTTTAGGCTGCTTGGTGTGTTTCTCAAATCACAAAACCCACCAGAATGGGATGGCAGTACAACCTTTTGCTGAAAAGCAGTGCTTGCTTATTTTAGCAGAGGAAGCATAATCTGTTCAGTGCTATTTGCTTTTTCTTTCAAAGCTGCTGCGAAGATAATGGTACCATGTAATTTAATTTTAATTATGGAAATATCTTGATGCCCTTAAATCTTGTTATCTGACTGCCTTTAAGAAGCATGTAGTGCGTGGTTTGACCACTAGCTGGCAAACAAATTGCAGTTATATAGAACAAAGCTGTCCTCCTTTTGTGGGTTTATAAAATATTGTGCGAATTAAGTCGGACTATTAACTTATTCTGAAATGCTATTTTTGTTTGCAATATACACAAATTACTGTAATTGTTTCCTTTGCAATCATTGATAAAAAAAGTCCCTCATGTATTAAGTACACAAAACTAAATGTAAGCTTTTGATAAAGCCTGTATGGTCTGCTATCCGAGAATAGAAGTGCATCTTTGTGGTTCCAGGTTTGACTCTGAGGGGCAGCTTCTGGAATGTGCCTCCATCTCTGATGTGAGGGGTGGGCCAGCATCTGGAGCGAATACCAATTGGAAAACTTTGTTTGAAGCCAAATCTGAGAACTTGGGACAAGGAGATAAGGTAAAGCATGGCTGCTGAGTACAAGTCTTGCGTACTGGGGAGAAAATAAAAAAGCTAGACTTTGTGCTGGCATTCTGCTTATTGAAGTAGTCCAGTTGTTAAGCAGTATGTGCTTATTCTGTCAGAATTCATGCTATCAAATAATTTTCTTTTTTTTTTTTTTACAAATAAATTCAAGCTCATTGCTGATGTTGCAACACGATACTATGTTTGCAAGAGAATTCTAAGCCTTGTATAAATGGAGGTGGCGGGGAGTTCACCCCAAAGATGTTCATATAAATAGCACAAAGTGTTCTAGAAGAAATATGTGCATTAGGAGGAAGTGGTTTTCAAGGGTGCATGCTTGGTCAATAGAGAAGCTAGGAATAAAACCCAGGTCTATGGCATTCCAGTCCAGTAACCTCTCTAGTCTTATACTACTACTTGACTTATTTTTATTTTTTCTTCAAACTCAAGTGCTAAGCCATTTGGGATACACAAGAACTTCTGTCCAAGAAAAATAAACTTTACCTGTAATTCAGCTATTTTCAGTGAGATTTTTTGCACATGCTTCTTAAGCAACCTCTGTTTATCTGTTGAAAGACTTGACCATGGTCTTAAAATTAGGATGATTATTTGAGTATGGTGAGTGGGTATTTTGTTCTGTAGGCTATAGTTTAATCAAATGCTTATCTGTAATACTACACAGTAGGCTTTCTGGTTTTTGTATTGGCTCCCAAATCAAGCCTAGGAAAGTGCAGAATCTTAATCCTGTGAAAAAGTAGAGATTTGAACAGACACAATGGAGAAGCAAATATGCTTTATCTAAAGAAAACCTAGCAATTGGAGTTTCCTGGAATGGAAACACAAAATAATCTTGCTGTAGGGGCTTTATTTAACATAATGGAAGCCTGAAAATGATTGCAACAGAGGGGTTGATTTACAGTTTCCCAATAATCCATAGCTGTTAAGCTTTCTAATCCTAAATATCCAAGTATGGGTGCCTTGCTTTGTAGTTAATTCAGAATTGGAAAACATTGAGTATTTTGAGGCTAATGTTGCACACTCACTCTCCTAGGCAGATTATTTTAGCTGTGTGGGCACGGTCGTACATCTGCGCAAAGAGAACTGTATGTACCAGGCATGTCCCTCTCAGGATTGTAATAAAAAAGTGATAGACCAACAAAATGGACTGTATCGTTGTGAAAAGTGTGATCGTGAATTCCCCAACTTCAAGTACCGCATGATGCTTCTGGTAAGTAAATGGATTAGAGGAGAGCGCACGTCTCGCTGTTTTCTTTGTACAGCCCAAACAGAAATCTTTCAAGAGAATGGGGTGTTATAGTGCTGTTTGTCTGTCTGTGGTGCCTGTGGGTTAGAGGATATTTAAATTGCTTGTATGCTGTACCTGAGTGAGGGATGTTTCATTGAGCTGATTAGCAGTTTGTTTTCCTAGTGCTCCAATTAAAAGCTTTTCTCTTTGCCAAAAAGTTGATGCTAGCTCAGTTGATTCTGGTTTCCAAGTGTACTATGCAGTGCAGAGTACAGATGGCCTACGCCTCTTCAGTAGTGAAGATAAACTGAAGTAAAATGGCATTTCTGGAGAGCAGTAATTGCACTTTTACAGCTGCTACCTATATTTAGTACATTTTTTTTTTGGTAGGTATTGTTCTGTCTCATGCTTTAATGGAGCCTGCTTCAGAAAGTTGTCTGAGGATTATTATTGTGATGCCCGCTCACACTGTAAGCATTGAACTGAAGGTTTTACATTCTAAGTTAGAGTTGTATCTGCTGCTTAGAAAAGCTGTGCCAGGTGGGCAAGCAGAGAGAAGGGAACTATCCCTGCAGTCTCACTAAGACACAAGCTTCTGAATAATTTCTAGCAGATAACTTCTAGGAATGCATGAACCACTTTACATAGCAGAATCATTCTTGTAGATTATAAAGGCAATACTGAGAGTACAGTCGTGGCCTTCAGAACGCTATGTCTCCTATTTTCCCATTCCTAAATGTCAAAGCAGCCAAGAAATGCATGTGAGGCTGGTACTTGATCTTTTTACTGTTCTGTCTTGTCCTTGAATGTTTTGATAGTTTCCTCATATCATAGTATTACATGTGTTAGTGCTCAAGTGCTCAGGTATAAATGCAGATTGCTGTTTTGCTCATGTCCCCCTTGGTGGTGGTTGTTCTGGGCTGCCTGTTCTTGCTAACGGTTCATCAGTGACAGTGGAACAGAGCTGAATATCCATCAGTCTATACCACTGTGATCTTGTGGCCTTTTCCTGTGACACAACGTACTGTCAATATTAACTTGCATTAAGTTACTGACGTTCCATGGAGCTTAAGAAAAAAAAAGGTAGTAAGTCACTGCTTTCTACCCTCGGTGATGGAAAGTACCTACGGTGCATAGGGCTCTGGTGGTTACTGGAAATTTAAAACTCTTCTCTAGCTGTGAAATAAATCTCTTTTTTTTTTTTTTTTTTTTTTTTTTTTTTTTTTGTACTGTCTTCTGTCTTCCTTGAGGATTAGGCAACTGGATGAAGTGACTTTTTTTTTCTTTTTTAGGTGACCATTGCAGACTGTCTAGACTATCAGTGGGTGACTTGTTTCCAAGAGTCAGCAGAATTCATTCTTGGGCAAAATGCAGCTTTCCTGGGAGAACTGAAGGAAAAGGTCAGTCAGTTAGCTTATTGTATTTTCAGTAAATGTCTAGAAGTTGAACTATGCTTCACACATCTTGTTGGGCTGCCCTCAAACTTCTGACTTTTTTTGATCCTCACGGTGAGGAAATATTCTTGTAATGTTGACTTTGAAGGCAACTTGGAGAAAGATGTGAGGTATATGTGGAACACTAGTGCTGATCCATCAGAGAGCATGAACTCATCCTTGTGTGCACACATATAGCACTCCTAAGTCAGCAGAGGCGGTAAAGGCAGTAGGTTATGTTCATGCAGTTGCTGTGGAAATTAACAGCATTATTAAAAGAAATACAAAAATGCCATATGAAAGAAAGGGATATTCTGCTTCATTTGGCAAGAATTTGATCTTGCCCATTCTCTGTGTGATAGGCCATTTCAGGGACCTGGAAGCCCAAGATTGTTCTCAAGATGTTGGACTTCAGTGTCTTTTAGAAGTTCACAAATCACTGCTTCTCCCTAGTCTGAAGTTCTTGGCAGGGACTTGTTTACTCTCCTCAGGATTATTTTCCACGGGCCATCTGCCTGGAGAAGAGATTTGCCTGGTTTCCCCCATAGTTTGCTCCCACAGTCAGTCTGTCTACCTCTGAGCTCTTTTGGCTGTTCAAAGCTGGAGATCGGCCTGTCCTTATCACCTGGACCTCGAGAGACAACTGATCACTTGTCGTAGAACTACAGCCTGTAGAGGGCTGACAGCTTTAACACATGTTGACTCCAATACAAAGGACAGGCTGTTTTATCATTGTACCTAGATTGGAAGAATCTGCAAAAAGAACTGTTTTAGCCATGAATGCTAAAACATTATCCCTAATGTGTTCCAAAAATTTGTTTACAAAACCAAAAAGTTCCAGAACGCTTTGTATGTATCTTTCCAAGTAGGCAGGAAGCTTTTTACACTAATGTATATTAGCCCACTTCTGAAGGCTTTTTTTTTCCCCTCTACCAAATGTCATCAGAAACTTTGTGGGTCATGTGAAAACCATGACTTCTAAAATAGGTCATTGGCAGAGACGTTTAAGTGATCTTTCTTTGACAGATTAGAACGGTTTTTAAGGTTGTAAGCCATTAAACACTGACAGAATGTTTTCTTCCCTTGTCACTATATGCTTCTCTGCTGCATTTTCCTTTCTTCCAACCAAAAGAATCTTTTCCTGATTTTTAGTTGTCGACTATATAAAGTCTCTGTGGTTTTGGTTTGTTGTGGGGCTTTTTTTTGGTTTTGGTTTGCTTTTTTAATGGCGATGTGGAAAGCGTAATAAGTTCTTGAATTGCATGTGAGCGTTACTGTGCTCCCAGGCTGAGGTGGTTGATACTAGGGCTCCACAGATACACCAGTTATTGGTTAACCAGTTGCTTGGCTGTGGGAGGGAAATGAAGCAGGAGGATTTGTTGAGGCTGTAGTCCTTGTTGTCCTGAGACACTGTGGTAGACCTCATCTGCTTCTGCAAAGCAGGGCTAGTTTTCCTGTGACTTCTATAAAAGAATGACTTTGGGAAATTTCCTACACTTTGACTCTCTAGGATAAGTGGTACATAGCGTGTCCTTCTGGGATGGTAAGAGTTTTTGTGGTATTATGAAGGCTGGACACCTCTGTTCTGTAGGAAGATGTATTGCTAGGGCATTCTAATTAGAAGTGCTTGCACTCTTACATTTCCATTTTCAGACATTATTAACCTGTCAATATTTTCTTTCTTCAGTTGTGCTTAATCTCTGCTGGAGTTCAAACAAAATTTCTTAGTCACTTCTAATGCTGAAGAGAACTGGGTGGGGAAGGAGAGACAGCAGATCCTATGTAACAATACAAACATGTAATGTCTTTTGAAGAGCTGCCTAATGGAAATGGCTGAGGATAGAAAATGGAACATAATATGGAATGAGCCGTTGAGCAGGAATTCTTTGTGTGCCAGGAGAAATTGGTTTTGATTTGACACTTTTATGAGCCTTTAAAAATGGTACTTGATGCATTTTCAGTAAGCTTTTCTTAGTGCTTTTTCTCTGAAGACCTGATGCAGTATCCTGTGAGGTTGGTGGGAGTCTTTCCACTGCTCACAGTATGTATTGAGTCCGCGTACAGCCAGTGACCACGCTAAGCATAGATATGCATGCATGGTTTTTCATCTACTTCTCCATTGTGCTTGTTACCAAAGGAGGTAATGCAGGGTAGCAGTGACTGGTATGCTAACAGCGTTTTCCACTCACTAATGGTTAGCGTAGTTTGTGGCAGGGCTGGAAACAGAAGCCAAATGCTTTATTAAATGAGTTTTCTTATCCTCTAATCCGTACGATGGTCAGAAGAAGGGGTTTTTAATATTCAGGAAGGATATGCCTAAATTTTGCAGTCTGTGAAACTAGCTACTCCTGTTCACCTTCGTTTGTTGTGCTCTTCTAAACCTTAGGAGAATCACTGTGTAGTGTAAAATAGTGCTGCACACATTTAAAAACAGCAGATGTAACACTTGGAATGTGAGTGAAACTGAGGTGGGTTCAATTCCAGATCAGATGCTCTGTCTGCTGCTGGAGTGACTGATCAAGTCAAGTGCATCTGGTAGATAAATGCATTAATAATTACTTGTCTGTATCATCCTGGGGCTGTGGGTTTGTGAAATGTCAGCAAAGGTTTTTACAACTAATTTTTACAAAAATAAACTTTTTCCACAGTCTCCACAACTTGTCTGCTTCTTTTCTACTGTTTTGACAAATTGTCTGTTATAAATGATGATGATGTTTAGTGTTCATATGGTAATTAGAAGCAGCTTATGTTATAAATATGACAGAGTCTTCTAATGGTTATAAAAGCATGTTCAAAACATGCATCCAGTTTTTTATAGAACAGCCTCATATAGGTCTGTGTCAGGACGTGAAGGGTACGTACAGCCTTGATGGATAAGCAGAGAAACACGATGCCTAGTAAGACAAATAATAGGGGAACAGTTAACTCGGTCAGTGTTTGTGGTCATAGCAGAACATCAGAATTCGCCAGTTAAGCAGCATGAGAGAATCTTGTGTAGATTTATAGTATTTTCACTCTGTACACTTGGTTGCTGATTTGGTGCAACTGTATGTTTAAAAAGTTTTCACTTTGAACTAAACTTCTTCTTAAAAACTTTAAGTTATGGTTTTGGCATCTAAAATTTGATGGAAGATTCAGCTCTGCCTACATGATCCGGTTAGTTCCACCATTTTGCCAACATCAGCAAAAGATAAGCTGTTCTGAAAGTTTATAGTACTGCTGGAAGCCTGGGGTGTCTGCAACCGATATCTGTCTTTGTCCTCCTCACAGAACGAGCAGGCATTTGAAGAAGTGTTCCAAAATGCAAACTTCAATACATATGAGTTCAGGATCCGAGTAAAACTGGAGACTTACAATGTAAGTATCCCCCAAAAGGCAAATAATGTAGCATGTGGCTTTTGTAGTTTGACTTGTCTTGGAGGTGGCTTCTTCCTCTTACGCTTGTGGGGAGGCGTTTCCAAATGTACTTGCTCACACAGATACTGTCAGTCTTGAGCACTGAAGGAGGGATCCACTGTCATTAACACTGCTATGTCTTGGGTTCATCAGGCCTGGCTTGTTTCAAATGAAAACAACATAGCTGCTCTGGGAGTCACCTTTGCACTCCCAGCTAACCCTGATACCAAGAGCAGTAAGTTACTGGGGCAGAAGGAGGTTAGAACCAAATGCCTGGAGTGTTTAGCGTTCTTCTTTTACATGCCATATTTCTCTTTCACAGGATGAATCTCGTATTAAGGCTACAGCACTGGATGTCAAACCTGTGAACTACAGAGAATACAGCAAGAGGTTGATCGCAAGCATCAGGAGAAATGCTCAGCTAGGGTGAGGAGGCTGGTGCTGACTGACTGAAGCATTCAGAATGTCTGAAATAACTTTGCTTTCTTACTATATGTGAAGCTGAATTATATAACCATTGTGTTGTCTTTGCAAGACAGTAGTGACACCTTGACACTTTGACTTGTTCAGCAGAGGGTAGGAGGAAGAGTGTCATACAGCTTTCAGATATGGACGAAGGCGAACAGGTCTATTAGCCCAAGTTAGTTCCTTTCTGTAGAATTCAAAGGCTTTCTCTTTCCACAGGTGCCATGCAGTTGTTAATGCTTGGAATGGCAATATGGTAGAATTATTAATCAAAGAAATATCTCTTATATCTGAAGAATATCCTTCCTTCAGGGTTTAATAGACTGAGTCAGATGGGTCTGATATTAATCAAAATTGTCTCTTCTGAGGAAGGCAGATAAGCATTGACTCTCCATCCCCCAGGGAAATCTAGGCAACTACAAAGCATTGCTTTAGTTTTCTCTTCAATTAATACTATGGGTTTTTGACTGATTTTAGCACACATTTCCTGCCTGTATGTATTTTGTATGTTTGTATGTTCAGTTTCTTTTGGTTTTATTTGTGATGATGTTAATCAGAAACAGGTCTTTAAATGGGGGGAGCTTTGTTTCAATAAACACTGTTTAATTCCTGTGTAGTGAATTTTGCTTTCTTTGAACACCAAAGACTTCTCATTACTGGAAAGCAATTAATTAGCTTTCATAATAACCATTCACTTGGGGGAGATGTTACCGTATTACAAACACTAAGGTTAGACTGAAGAATGGAGACTTCTTTGCCTGATGTTAACAGCATGGAAATGCAGTGATATTTTCACCATTTCTGTGCCTGAGAATGCTGATGAGCTGGCACTTCTGGGATTTTTATTGACGTTTACACAGCAGCCTAAAACTAACCAGGCTTTGAGATTTGTTCAGACATAGAGCTAGTACAGAAAACAGTAATTATGCTACTGGGTTTTTCAGTCAGCAGAGCATGCTAGCTCTGTGTGCTCCTAATCACATTAATTATGTGTTCCCTGGCTGCAGCTCACAGCTTGGCATTTGCTGCACAGCTCCAAGCATCCCGGCAATACCGAAGTGGGTCTCTGGTAGCAAAACTGAAAATTATTTATTTATTTTGCTCTGTAGAGCACTGTTTCTTCATGTATTCAGTTAGTGCCCTTTATTTCCCATCATTTCATGTTTGTCATCTTAAGTCTTTACGTTTAAGAACGGTAAATGCCATTCCCATTGATGGACACGAAGGACGTTATTCTGGGCCCATTAACGCAAACAACCCCTTCCTCTTTTTTTTTTTTGGATTCTGAGGATCATGACTGGGTTCTTCTGCTGATGTCTTGAATTTTTTATTGAAGTATTTGTTCCCTCTGACCTTGCTTATAAAGCATTGACTATAAAATTACAGTCTTCAGCACTGTTCTGGATTGACAAATGGTGGGTTAGTGGTGATAATCTATCCTTCCACTCTGCTAACCAGTCTTAGTTCTGCTCCTCCTTTCCTATCCCTCCTTCCCAGTTTGAGGGGACTGGTAACAAGTGGTAATGTGAAATGTTTTCCTTGAGGCTATTTTCCAATTCTCAGGCCCATATACACCAGAAGTGTTTTTACGGGCGTTTGTGTTAGCGCGTATTTGCTGGCATTGCAGCTTTATGAGACGATGTTGCACGCCTGCCTCTGTTGGGGCAGCTCATTCTCCCAGAGGGAATCGCTGTGCATCTGTATTGCTGGGTTTACTATGCCATCAGCCAGAGCACTAGAGATGGAAGGTATCAATACTCAAGGGTATTAAGGTATCTTACAGGATCAGTTGAACGACCTTGAGAACTGGAACAGAAAATCAACTTAAAACAGTTTGTGTGAAAAGTCATTTATTTGAGGACTAATAAAAAAAAAAAAAAAACCAACCCTGCTCTAAAGTGGATGCTCATTAGTGACTGAAGAGTTGGAGGGTTTTAATCATGCTTTAATCAGCTAGTATATGATAAAAACATCAAGCTATGTAAGGCAAGGTATTTCTAGTATAGCTATACAAGTACCATAGGATTATATAAGCCTCTGCTGTGAGATCTCATCTCGAATGCTATGTACAGTTCTGGTTTGCTACGTATAGAGGCAAAAAAGAATCTCAGCTGGGGCGAGTACAGAGGAGGACTACACTGCTGAGTAGGAGAATGAAGGTCTTTTTTTAGGAGGGGCCTGGGAGAGCTAATTTAGCAAAATGAATCCTGAGGGGGGGAGGGGAGGGGGATAAGATTTCCCACATACAAAATATATATGCATGTATCTTGCTTCCTTCCCCTGATCATAGGCTAGGGCTGTTGATGATAACTGGTTAATAAGTAGTTTGTCAATCAAAGTCAGGTTCTGAAGCAGCCATCTGGCTGAGGAGCGAGGGCAGGGAAGCTCTGGAGGTGTCTCCACTCTCTCCTCCCACCTCATTGCCAACTGGCCATGGCCATCCAAACCCTGGTAGATGACTGTAGGCACTGGGACCTTCAGAAGGCTCTGGGCTCTTCTGACTGTGCTAATTAAGGAGAAGTGAGTGGACTCACAATGCTAATTGGGATTATTGGCAAACAAGCCTGTGTCTGCCTTTCCTTCATCATAAATCTCCCTCTGCTAGCGTCCAGGTTATTGCTGGATGGATTCAGCCATTATTTGGGCTGAATGTGTATTTGCTCAATTGAAAGGATGCTGGAATACTTTGTAACTAGGTCTCTGTGAGGTGAAGATTCCTGTGGCTGCTAATGTTTTGCTTTAAATTAAATGTACAAAGTGAAGATGAAATTGGGAGGCTGCTGGTTTTGAACAGGCAGGTGCAAGGGCAATTACATGAGAACATCAAGTTCTGCGTGGCCGAGGGAAGATCTGGAGCATGCTTTGATGTGCTGCATTCAGGTAGTTCGCTGTTTGTGTTAATTCCCGCTGTTACCATTTAACTATTTTCACTGTACACAAATTTTAAATGAATTGTTAGTCACCCTTATGAGTCTCGGGAGGGGAGAATCCATTTGAGTCAGATCTGGGTTTTAAGATGCATCAGGTGGTTTGTGGTTTGTTTTTTGGTTTGGGTTTCCCCCCCCCAAATAAAGATTTAAGGAGTAATGTATTCTAAGAGCCGTTGTAAAAAATAAATGGTGGTCTTGCACAGATCAGAAGCGACTGCTCTGCGTGTGTTTGGTAGCTGGTTGCTTTACGCTGTGTATGCTATGCCTGGCAGCTTGGATGAGTGTGTGTGTGTGGGCTTCCGTGTTCCAGCACGATTGGATTGTCCTTTTAGTGCAACAGGGTGTGAGAGTGGAAGTTGATGAGTCTGATGTTTTGATTCTTGGTGATATTTGCATTTGCTGCCCAAGATACAGCATAACATCTTGAGGGGGGGAGGAAGACGTACTTTCCTTCCGTGTCCTGTTTCGTCATCTTTCCTTTCCTTTTGCCTCCTTTTATTTTTTCCCTAGCCCTCGGAACTAGCTGCTTTGGAGAAGAGCAGCCACCCCATAGGGCTGCTTCCTCACCATGGCCGGCCTCACTGGCTGGAGAAGTTGCCTCTCAGGCAGCTGTAGGGCTCCTTAGGTGACTCAGATGGGAAAGAAAGAGAAATTTCATATCACTTTTATATAAAAAGCTCAATGACAACGCGAAATGGAGCAGGCTGCCTATTTCCAAAGTCAGTGTTCGGGGAAGGGAGTGGTCTGCAGCATATTATGCATTATAAATATTGGAGTAGTGCAGTAAATATCAGTAATCTTATTACAGGGAGTGGAAATTCTCTTTAATATATTATCTGTTAGGATGCAAGGGGCTAACAGCCCTTCTTTCCGTTTTTTAGTCTCTTTTTCATGTTTACATATTTACATTTCATTCATATGCATATTTTTTTTTTAAAAAAAAAGGTGGTTTGAATGGCCAGATGGATTTTTCATGAGGACTGTTACGCATTTTTTTGTGTATTTTATTTGAATACTTAGGTGTCTGTGTTTGGGGGGGTGGGGTGTTGTTTGTTTTTAGTTTTTTCCTGTTTATAGTGCATTGATTTGTTGTTAAATTCAGCCTCTCTGCCATGCCAAAAGCATGCCTTTGGGAGTGTTTCTGGGCTGCTTGTAGTACTTTTTTTTTTTTTTTCCCATCCTTGTATATAACTGTTCTTGCAAGTTGTTTAAAATAAACTGGACACTTGCAAAGGCGTTTCTTTAATTTGTCCCGAACCTCTTGCCCTTTAAAGGGAGATTTTAAAAGAAAAAAATCTTCCTGTACTCTGTTGCCTGATGTGGTTTTCTTTAGGTTCAGCCTGGCTGAGCTCAGTGAGACTCCCACATGAGTCTGCTACTTCTCGCAGGGACGTATTTTTCCAGGGATGGTCCGGGTTATGACAAAGGGACCCCAGAAGCTGCGCTGCAGCGGACGACCATGCAGGGATGCACCAGAAATGGGTTCTTTGCTCTGAGAGTTTATCCTCGGAAAGTTGGCGGAGCAGAGCTGGGTGGTTGGTTTATCTGATGTAAAAATGAAAGATGTGACCATTTGTCATGTTCACTCTGACATCACCGTCGAGCAATTAGGAGAAAGAAATCTAATTATTTTGCCATCACTTTAGCTCTTGGAATTCCCTCATGGCTTATTGTACAAAAGGCTGAAAAATAAGAGTAATAATCCGATTTTTGTCTGTTTCTAGTGTTTTATGTTTTTCCATTAAAGCGTTGCCGATATGCTGCGCTGACTTTTTGAACTGCAGGATCAAAAAATACTCCTCCCTCTTTTTTTTTGGTGAAGACTGTCTCTGAGAAGGATAAATATTATTGATTGAGGTATTTAATACACTAATGAAACCCACAATTATCGACTATGTAATTAATATACTGTCTAAAAGTAAAGTTTGACAGCGCATATAGAAAAGCTGTATTGACTTGCGCTTCTTTGGCAACGTGCCTCGCAGGTTTTTATTTATAGACATTGAAACACGTTCTTCTTCAAGTAATGATTCAATCCCACTTTCTGCTTGCCACAAGCTAGAAGGCTGCCGTTCTTCTTGCTGACTGTAAGGCTTTCATATTATCTGTGGGGAACTAAAATTCTCAGCGTTTAGCTTTGCTGCCTATAGCACTGGATTTCGGAGCCGGAGTGTCCATGTGCGTGGCACTGTTTCTTGCAGCGGGGAAACCAGCCTTTTCCATGAAGCTTTCTGCTTCTTGTAAGCACGTTTGTAGACTTTCTTGACTTGCTTTTGGTTTTGCTAACCTTAGTGAGCAAGGAAAAGAGGGGAAATCTGAGGGACACCTTGGTAGACCCGGGAGGGTACTGTCAGACAGGATTTCCTGTCAGTATAGCCACATTTGGGGTTTTAAAGGAGCCCTCATGTATGCTTGGGGAGCATATGCTCTGGTTTAGGCTCAAGGCAATATGTGGGTTTGTTCTAAGCTAAAGTGGCTTTTCTTAAGCCTAAGCAGCAAGATTTAGTCTTCTCCCTGAACTGATGGATGATCTGCAGCCCGGTGTCCATTCCTGCCTTGTTCCAGGGTTCGGTGGTACTGTATCCCCACCATTTTGGCTGACCCCGGGCTGGTAGCTCACTGCATCTCCCTTAGCCTTGCTCGTCTTCCCCAGCGGGTTCTGCTTGCAGCCCAGCCTCGTGTTCTTTGCTGCTGCTTAGGTTGCCATAAACTGTGTTTAAATTGCCAGGAAGCTGAAGCTACATTTATAAATGGCTTTAAGTTGTTCGTGTGCCCTGTGAAATGTTAAACTTCTTAGCACCAGGTGAAGTTATTTACATCGAACTCAGAAGCTGATAATGAAGGTTTTTTTAGATTTCAAGTGATTTAAAAAAAACTTCCAAATCCCAAGTGTATCAGCTATCTGGTAATTGGAGCTTGTGCTGTCATTAAAAATGACAGCTTTCTCCAATAACATTCTTAGTGCTTGTAAAATGCAGCTAACATAACCTATATTTAACTTGTATTAGCTAGAATTTCCTTTCCATGCTTGCTTACTTTCAGAGCTTTGGTGTGAATACCGAGGTCCTTCTCTATTCATGAACCACGTATTATTTTACCTGGTTGGAAGAACTGAAAGCTTTTAAAAGCAGGGCTGGACAGCTGGGTATCTCTGTCGTGGTTTCCCCCATAGAAGTTTTTTTTTCAGCCAGCAAGTAGAAGCCATTCTTTGGGCAGAAATAAACCTCAAGCAATCCTACGTGTTGCAAGAAAGCCCAACTTCGCTGAAGGTTAGCAGAAAGCTCCTATGCCTTAACCCTAAAAAAAAAGTGTCGTGTCCCCCCCTTTTTTTTCCTTTCTCTCTGCGGTCAGTTAAAAACATTTGCATGTTGAATCGTTAAGGCTCTGTCCCATAATTGAGATGCTGGGTAGCAATCTGCTCCCCTCCTCCGCCTGGAAGTGTTCCACACAGAGCCCTCTAATTAAACAGAAAATGGTTTGTCATATGTAACTGCCTCTTCTGAATGTAACAAACTCATTTCAAGAGATGCCAACACCATCTTTATAGCTGTTTTAATAATCTTCTCTTGAATCAGAGAGGGCTCTAACCTCGTATTTCACTTCACCAGCTGTTTATTTAGCTGGGATTTTTTTTTCCCCTTGCACTGAGAATGTGTAGACTTTTTTTTTTTTTCTTTGTGTGTGTGTGGAAATCCTCATTAGAGTAACTGAGTTTTAAGTCTGTGAAATAGTCTGTTAGGGCTGGTGCTTTCAA